CATTTCAATTCGATTTGGGAACAGATGTGCCTTGGAAAACAAAATTTGGTGGAAAATTTCGGACAAAAACGGTGAAAATTCGTTTTTATTTTTAGGTATTTCCTCACCAAAAAAACGATGATTTTTGCCTAAATCTGCTTAAATATTAATGTTTGAATATTGATTCATGCTCCACTCAACTCCACAGCAATTTTTGCGTTGTTTTGAGAAAAGTTAATTTTTGGCCAAATTTTGATAAAAATGTAAGGCTAACCCCTTGTTTTTTTTTTAATTTTGGCCAAAAAATGAAATTCCTTGAAACTTGCAGGAAAGATGCCTGAAGTAACCGTGAACACATTCCAATGGGATTTGGGAACAGATGTGCCTTTTAAAAGAAAATTTGGTGGAAAATTTCGGACAAAAACGGTCAAAATTCGTTTTTATTTTTAGGTATTTCCTCACCAAAAACCCGATATTTTTTGCCTATTTCTGCTTAAATATTAATGTTTGAATATTGATTCATGCTCCACTCGTCTCCACAGCAATTTTTGCGTTGTTTTGAGAAAAGTTAATTTTTGGCCAAATTTTGATAAAAATGTAAGGCTAACCCCATGTTTTTTTTTCAATTTAGGCCAAAAAATGAAATTCCTTGAAACTTGCAGGAAAGATGCCTAAGGTAACCCTGAATACATTTTAATTGGATTTGGGAACAGATGTGCCTTTTAAAGAAAATTTGGTGGAAAATTTCGGACAAAAACGGTCAAAATTCCTTTTTTATTTTTAGGTATTTCCTCACCAAAAACCCGATAATTTTTGCCTATTTCTGCTTAAATATTAATGTTTGAATATTGATTCATGCTCCACTCGTCTCCACAGCATTTTTTGCGTTGTTTTGAGAAAAGTTAATTTTTGGCCAAATTTTGATAAAAATGTAAGGCTAACCCCTTGTTTTTTTTTCAATTTTGGCCAAAAAATGAAATTCCTTGAAACTTGCAGGAAAGATGCCTGAAGTAACCCTGAACACATTCCAATGGGATTTGGGAACAGATGTGCCTTTTAAAAGAAAATTTGGTGGAAAATTTCGGACAAAAACGGTGAAAATTCGTTTTTATTTTTAGGTATTTCCTCACCAAAAACCCGATATTTTTTGCCTATTTCTGCTTAAATATTAATGTTTGAATATTGATTCATGCTCCACTCGTCTCCACAGCAATTTTTGCGTTGTTTTGAGAAAAGTTAATTTTTGGCCAAATTTTGATAAAAATGTAAGGCTAACCCCATGTTTTTTTTTCAATTTAGGCCAAAAAATGAAATTCCTTGAAACTTGCAGGAAAGATGCCTAAGGTAACCCTGAATACATTTTAATTGGATTTGGGAACAGATGTGCCTTTTAAAGAAAATTTGGTGGAAAATTTCAGACCAAAACGGTGAAAATTCGTTTTTATTTTTAGGTATTTCCTCACCCCAAAACCGATGATTTTTGCCTAAATCTGCTTAAATATTAATGTTTGAATATTGATTCATGCTCCACTCGTCTCCACAGCAATTTTTGCGTTGTTTTGAGAAAAGTCAATTTTTGGCCAAATTTTGATAAAAATGTAAGGCTAACCCCTTTTTTTTTTTTCAATTTTGGCCAAAAAATGAAATTCCTTGAAACTTGCAGGAAAGATGCCTAAAGTAACCCTGAATACATTTCAATTCGATTTGGGAACAGATGTGCCTTTTAAAAGAAAATTTGGTGGAAAATTTCGGACAAAAACGGTGAAAATTCGTTTTTATTTTTAGGTATTTCCTCACCAAAAAACCGATGATTTTTGCCTAAATCTGCTTAAATATTAATGTTTGAATATTGATTCATGCTTAACTCGTCTCCACAGCAATTTTTGCGTTGTTTTGAGAAAAGTCAATTTTTGGCCAAATTTTGATAAAAATGTAAGGCTAACCCCTTGTTTTTTTTTCATTTTTGGCCAAAAAATGAAATTCCTTGAAACTTGCAGGAAAGATGCCTAAAGTAACCCTGAACACATTCCAATTGGATTTGGGAACAGATGTGCCTTGGAAAAGAAAATTTGGTGGAAAATTTCGGACAAATACGGTGAAAATTCGTTTTTATTTTTAGGTATTTCCTCACCAAAAAACCGATGATTTTTGCCTAAATCTGCTTAAATATTAATGTTTGAATATTGATTCATGCTCCACTCGTCTCCACAGCATTTTTTGCGTTGTTTTGAGAAAAGTCAATTTTTGGCCAAATTTTGATAAAAATGTAAGGCTAACCCCTTGTTTTTTTTTCAATTTTGGCCAAAAAATGAAATTCCTTGAAACTTGCAGGAAAGATGCCTAAAGTAACCCTGAATACATTTCAATTCGATTTGGGAACAGATGTGCCTTGCAAAAGAAAATTTGGTGGAAAATTTCGGACAAAAACGGTGAAAATTCGTTTTTATTTTTAGGTATTTCCTCACCAAAAAACCGATGATTTTTGCCTAAATCTGCTTAAATATTAATGTTTGAATATTGATTCATGCTCCACTCGTCTCCACAGCATTTTTTGCGTTGTTTTGAGAAAAGTCAATTTTTGGCCAAATTTTGATAAAAATGTAAGGCTAACCCCTTGTTTTTTTTTTAATTTTGGCCAAAAAATGAAATTCCTTGAAACTTGCAGGAAAGATGCCTAAGGTAACCCTGAACACATTCCAATTGGATTTGGGAACAGATGTGGCTTGGAAAAGCAAATTTGGTGGAAAATTTCGGACAAAAACGGTCAAAATTCTTTTTTATATTTAGGTATTTCCTCACCAAAAAACCGATGATTTTTTCCTAAATCTGCTTAAATATTAATGTTTGAATATTGATTCATGCTCCACTCGTCTCCACAGCAATTTTTGCGTTGTTTTGAGAAAAGTCAATTTTTGGCCAAAAAATGAAATTCCTTGAAACTTGCAGGAAAGATGCCAAAGGAAACCCTGAACACATTCCCATTCGATTTGGGAACAGATGTGCCTTGGAAAAGAAAAATTGGTGGAAAGTTTCGGACAAAAATGGTCAAAATTCCTTTTAATTTTTAGGGATTTCTTTAACAAAAAAATGGATGATTTTTGCCTAAAATTTAGGACAGAACTTGCTTGTCCTTTGGAGAAAAGGCAGTTGTTGGCCACATTTTATGAAAAAACCATCTAAAAGAAGTTTCGCTTGCTGTTATAACAAAAAGGAATTAAGGCATGGTGGACACAAACAGGCATTTTGTTTTCGTTTATTGACGCAAACACCTAATTGAAAAATTGTAATGTGACATCATAAAAGATCAAACAGAAGTCATATATTATTTAACATTCAAGAATAACAATTTCAAGTAAGTTACCTCTTATTCTTTACTAAATCTACCAATTCTACAATCTACATTCCGGCTTTAAGTAGAACATTGAACTAATTTGGATCAAGCTCAAGATTAAAAATATGTTGAATACTTTGGCAAATTGTGTTTTACTCGTCTGTACAGCAGCTGTAGGAGCATACTGTTTCTGTATGTGCAGGATATGAACTTCAAACTTGGTATGTTTGTTGGTCCTGTAGTCTCCCAGAAGCCCATTAAAGTTGGACCCTGAAGGAGCATACTGTGTCTACCATGACCTTTCATGTGTGTATGTATGTGCCTGTGTCACACGTTGGTATGTGCAGGATATGAACTTCAAACTTGGTATGTACGTTGGTCCTGTAGTCTCCCAGAAGCCCATTAAAGTTGGACCCTGAAGGAGCATACTGTGTCTGCCATGACCTTTCATGTGTGCCTGTATGTACCTGTCACACGTTTGTATGTGCAGGATATGAACTTCAAACTTGGTATGTTCGTTGGTCCTGTAGTCTCCCAGAAGCCCATTAAAGTTGGCCCCTGAAGGGGCATACTGTGTCTACCATGACCTTTCATGTGTGTATGTATGTGCCTGTGTCACACGTTGGTATGTGCAGGATATGAACTTCAAACTTGGTATGTACGTTGGTCCTGTAGTCTCCCAGAAGCCCATTAAAGTTGGACCCTGAAGGAGCATACTGTGTCTGCCATGACCTTTCATGTGTACCTGTATGTACCTGTGTCACACGTGGGTATGTGCAGGATATGAACCTCAAACTTGGTAAGTACGTTGGTCTTTACGTCTCCCAGAAGCCCATTAAAGTTGGACCCCATGAAACATCAATTCCATTATTGTTAAAACAAAAGAAATTGCAGCCATAAAACGTCACGGACTTAATGCTCATTGCCATTAAGACAATTTTTACGTGTAATTATTGAATGTTTAATAATTTTTATCAAGGTAGCACTATAAGTCGTCAAAAAAATGGCCCTCCTTTTAAATATAATTTAAACATTTACAATTAATTACAGAATTCTAAAAGTGGAAATTGGGAATGTTGACCATTAAGTTACCCTGCTTTGAGGAAAAAAGATATTAATTTGTATCACTTGTTAATGTGGCTCATTCCGAAATGTACAAGGTGTAATAACTGCACTTATCTCCAAGCAAACATGTATCTGCGATCCTGATTGGTTGATCCATGGCAACAACAGCGTGATATTATACTGTCGGTCCATATCGCACCCTGCGTATTGCGCTATTCCAAGATTCGAGTGCAATTCCAGCTGCATGCGCTAAGCTGACAAAAGGTTCGTGTTAAGCGTATAAGTTCCAACTTAACAGTGCGTCAAGTTTGCTGGAAGATAAATTTGTTATCGCGCTCGCGGAACACCGAAAATGTAGTACGTCTGTTTCCTACATATCGCTCAGCCTTCAGCCTCATGGTGTGTAGGACACAGACGTACAACATTATTCTGTGTTCTACTTGCACATGCGGGATGATTATAAAATACAGCCACAATATTAGCATTTTTAAAAGAATTACATGTATAGACAGAGAATATAACTTGATCATACTTAAACATAGGATCTTTTTTTGTGTAGTGCATTTTTTTGTTTGAAGCAACAAAATTGCTCAAAATCTTAACAAGGGCGCATAAAAAAACAACTTTTTAAAAGTTTCAGCTCAGTGGATACTAAACAATTTGAAAAATACAGAGAAAACGTATGAAATTTTTTTTTGGTCTTCTAACTGGATTTTGTTGCTAACCCACGAAAAAAAGTGTGCCAATAAGGATACCTTCTTAAACACCATCAATGAATGTTTTCTTCCGAACGACATCATGAGTTATTTCACAGGGTATTTGGTACAAGTCATATCTTCACTTTGGGCAAATGTTTTCTCGTGGAATCACTGCAAATATTCCTACGCGCCTTTAATAAAAACTTTAAACCAACTCGTGGAATCTACCTATATTAACAACCCAAGTGTCAAAGCCACAGGCTTCACACCCCATCACTGGGAGTTAGGAAGGATTTTGTCTCGAAGGAACTCCGTCACGTTGGTATGTTCCAAGTCGAGTTTGAGGAAGACGTCGGCAATGTCCTGGCACTTCTGGAACTGGCTGTCGATGCTCTCTGCGTTGACGCGGTGGATCGGTTTACTCTGGGCTAGCAGGTCGGTCACCTGTCCAGGATTTTAGACAACAGTCAAAGCTAAACAGGGTGAGTAAAAATAAACGAAACCCAAATGTTGGGACCATTGTTTTAGTGAAGTTCTGCATGTAGCACTTTCAAAATCTAGGATATGAAAGCCCAACTCATAAGCTTTCTTTTAGTACAAGAATCATTCAAATCACTCATGTACTTTTCAAGTTATGGAATTTTAAACAACCACCGTTTTAAGGTTCTGTTCACGGATCACAAAAAAGTTAAGTGTTCTTTCAGTACAACGAAAACAAATCACATAGGGATGTGTGTGAATTGTTTTCGTTTTGCTGAAAGAACACACACCTTTTTGTGATCCGTGGACAGAACTTTAAAACGGTGGTTGTGTTTAAAATTCCGTAACTTGAAAAGTACATGAGTGATTTGAATGATTCTTGTACTAAAAGAAAGCACTTGAATTGGGCTTTCATGTCCTAGATTTTGAAAGTGCTACATGCAAAACTTCACTCAAACAAAAGTCCCGACATTTGGGTTTCGTTTTTTTTGGACTCACCCTGTATAGACTCATCAAAATCTAATGATAACTTTAATTTGTTTTGGGCTCGAGGACTAACCAGTGTCCTCTCTTAACCTATCTCACTGACAACTGCAAAATGAGACGGCACTGGGCACAGGCCGTAGCGGAGAAAAATGTAAAAAGCTGATTGAAGGTGATTTTTTCGATATTCAGATTTACTGATAGCTTTGGATATGACTACCGCACATATTTTTAAAAAATAGTATAAAAGTGTCTTTAAGGAAAATCAATTGCGTTCTTTCATTTTCATGACTGCAAAACTCTAAAGGCAGTCTCAGTATTTTACTTTTTGACTTGTCGATAAGTGCAAACTTTAAACAGCCATAACTTGTCAACGGAACGCCCGAATGAAGGAGACTTTTATTCTCTTTCCTAATACCCACAAACACTCAGTTTGACCTCTGCCTAGTTGTGTTTCATTTTACCAGAACGTCTCACAAATGAAGAATGATGACCGTTGTGATTACCTGTTTGCCACGTTTGAGCAGCTCCTCAGGTAAGCCTGCCTGGGCTGCGATGTGACTGGCATAGCTATGGTCAGCGTGGCCTTCTATCAACTGGTAAAGGAAGACCATCTCATCTCCGTTTTGAAGTACCTCCATGGTCTGAAGTAGACAGACACAAAACATCAGTTAATTACTGTGCTTTCTGACAGAGTTGTAAGTTAGTCATTGCTAGTCATCACAAGAGGTTGCAAGTCATAACTGGTCATCACAAGTCACTACTAATCATCATAAGCCATCATAAGTGGACACTAGTCATCACAAGTCATCACAAGTGTTCATAAGCCATCAAAAGCAGTCACACATCATCTCTAGTAAGCACAGGTCATTACAAGTCACCACAATTCATCGCAAGTCACAAAAAGTCATCACAAGTCGCGCTACACATCATCACAAGTGTTCATAAGCCATCAGAAGCAATCACAAGTCATCACAAATTATCACTAGTAATCACAGGTCATTTCAAATCACCACAAGTAATCTTAAGTCACAGAAAGTCGTCACAAGTCATCACAAGTGTTCTTAAGTCATCGCAAGCCATCAGTAGATATCACAAGTCATCACAAGTCATCACAAGTCATCACTAGTCATCACTAGTCATCACTAGTCATCACGAGTCATCACGAGTCATCACGAGTCATCACAAGTCATCACAAGTCATCACAAGTCATCACTAGTCACCACAAGTGTTCTTAAGTCATCGCAAGCCATCAGTAGACATCACAAGTCATCACAAGTCATCACTAGTCATCACAAGTCATCACTAATCATCACTAGTCATCACAAGTCACCACAAGTGTTCTTAAGTCCTCAAAAGCCATCAGTAGACATCACAAGTCATCACAAGTCATCACAAGCCATCAGTAGACATCACAATTCATCACAAGTCATCACAAGCCATCAGTAGACATCACCCTCTACCACACCCCCTCCCCACCCTCTTTACCTGGTAGGTCAGTTCCTGTGACTGAGGCAACAAGCTCTGCTTGACGATGCTGTGGAAGTGTGACGATACCAAGACGTGGGGGCACAACGTCCCCCTGCCCAGCCAGTGCTTCAGGCTGGCACACAGCAAGGCAATGCCGTCCACTGCCTCGGTGCCTTTGCCAAACTCATCTACGATGACTAGTGACTTGGCCGTGGCGTTATTCAGTGCTAGAGCCATCTGCGAAACAAGATTTTTGACACACAAAAAATGCACTTTGAACATGAGACACGCCTTACAAAAATCCCATCACAAACATGGACCCACTTATTAAATTTAATTGTCTGATCAAAATATGACCTGCACCATAAAAATTATCCAGATATCGCCACAACTTTTTTTTCTTCACAACCATGCAAAATTGAAAAGAATTCACATTAATTCAGCAACTTGGAACTGTGAAGTGAACAATTTTGTTTCAAAAATGAGGAAATTCACTGCGATTTTGTGAAATGATAATTTTTTCAGGAATATTACCAAAATTAGAAACCTCAACCAGAAGTTATGCAATCTACAAAATAACCTTCACGTGGCTAAGATTTTCATATTTTGATTGTTTAAAACTACATGAAAGCTGCGAGTAAGATCTTATTCCGGGTTTGCTCGTACTTGTTCTAGACAGCCTCCACATCAAAACTTATGATCTGATAAAAGATAAGTTTGCGAAACTCAATTTTGCGTCTTCGCAATGCGAAGGTTTTCAGAGATTGTTTGGTAAATTTCAATGACGAATTTTCTGACCTGGTTGATATCGAGCATGAACGTTGAGAGGCCGATGGAGACCGACTCCAGGGTTTGGACTCGGGTGTAGATGCCATCAAGCATGCCGATGGTGGCGCCCTCTGCTGGCACAAAACTGCCAATGTGACTCATGAACGCGATCACTCCCGCCTAGAAATAAACAGTAAGAGTATTTCTGGAGTGAATTTTCCTTTAAAATGTAATAGGATTGACGGCATTCAGAAATGTCCAACATAAGTCTGGTCATAATTCTCCCCCAGCCAGTGTTGCAGTGCTGGTACTCGTACTCAAGAACCTTTTTTTTTTTACTCGTACTCATCAAAATGTGCTCGTACTCATTATTACAGAACTCGTACTCATGACAAAGTACTTGTACTCATGACAAAGTACTCGTACTCGTGACAAAATACTCGTACTCATGACAAAATACTCGTACTCATGACAAAATACTCGTACTCATGACGAAATACTCTTACTCATGACCAAATACTCGTACTCATGACAAAATACTCGCACTCATGACCAAATACTCGTACTCATGACAAAATACTCGCACTCATGACGAAATACTCGTACTCATGACAAAATACTCGTACTCATGACGAAATACTCGTATTCATGACAAAATACTCGTACTCATGACGAAATACTCGCACTCATGACCAAATACTCGTACTCATGACAAAATAGTTGTACTCATGACAAAATACTCGTACTCATGACGAAATACTCGTACTCATGACCAAATACTCGCACTGATGACCAAATACTCGCACTCATGACCAAATACTCGCACTCATGACCAAATACTCGTACTCATGACCAAATACTCGTACTCATGACGAAATACTCGCACTCATGACCAAATACTCGTACTCATGACAAAATACTCGCACTCATGACGAAATACTCGTACTCATGACAAAATACTTGTACTCATTACAAAATAATCGTACTCATGACGAAATAATCGTACTCATGACCAAATACTTGTACTCATGACAAAATACTCGTACTCCTGACGAAATACTCGCACTCATGACCAAATACTCGTACTCATGACAAAATAGTTGTACTCATGACAAAATACTCGTACTCATGACAAAATAGTTGTACTCATGACAAAATACTCGTACTCATGACAAAATACTTGTACTCATGACAAAATAGTTGTACTCATGACAAAGTACTTGTACTCATGACCAAATACTCGTACTCATGACAAAATACTTGTACTCATGACAAATTACTCGTACTCATGACAAAGTGCTTGTACTCACCCGTACTCATGGAAATGTACCGGACTACAAAAGTCCACCCCCAAGATTTCAACTTTGACAGCACTAGTTTACTCTGCAGAATTGACAAACCTGTTTAAGGTAGACACTCTTCCCGCTGGCGTTGGGACCGGTCAGGAACTTCATCTTGCCGAACTTTCCCCCGGAGTACGTATCATTGGGCACAAAGGGCGAGACGCACAGCTCCTGCAGTGGGTGCCTGCCTCCGGTGATGTGGATGATGTTGTCCTCGGTGAGATCTGGCCGGGTGTAGTTCTGGTCTTTGGCTGCTGCTGCAAAGGACAACAGACTGAAAAAAAAGGGGAGTTTGGAGGTAAGGGTCGGTTCATTCTTCATGCGAATGCGAAGCAGATTTGACGTCATGAAACACTCGGTGAAATTTGCCCGAGTTGAAGTATGTTCAACTTTTGCGAATACCCAACACAAATACTTGCCATTACGATACAAATTCGTGTTCGCTTTCGCGCAGAGAACGAACCAGGCTTAACGTGATGGAATGAACTATCTCTTCCAGTTGAATCACTTCCATAACTGTTATCTCTCAAGAATGTGATTCGAACTTCGAAAATATATTGTAGCAGCACTGTGCCAACTAGCGGGAGTGTGGCCTAGTGGTTAGGATTCGTGACTTGTGATCAGAGGGTCAGGGGTTCGAATCCAGCTGCTGGCCAAATGTTGTGTCATTGGGCAAGCTACTTCACCCCACTTGCCTCTCTCCATCCAAGAGTATAGATGAATATTAGCATTAACTGGGGAGCAACCTGCGATGGACTTTATCCTATTTTCTGCCATATAAGCGAGGAGCAGTCTTTATAATGTTACTTGATTTAGAGAGGGATATAGGATGTTTCTCAACTTACCAGTCTAGCTCTGCCGCATGCTGCATGACCGTAAAGAGCACCTCAGATCTCTCCAGGATGGAGTTCTGAAGCCGGTGCATTATCTGGGTCTCTAGATCTGGAACGAGATACAAGATGTATTCAATTGGTGAAAAGTTCGGTGCAAATGAGAAAATGGACCGATATTGAAGGACCACTGGGCACTGTATTGCCTCTTGCCGCACACTGGTATGCATAGACTACAGCGAACAGCGAACAGCATGCAGGAACAGGTGAAACATCCTTCGCACATGCTCAAGTAGTGGCGGTGCTATTGGGATGTCTCCCCCCCCCCCAAGTTTTTCTGTCCTCCCCCCACGTTGTCTGATTCTTTGTAGAGATTAATTCTGTTTTCCCCCTCTCTGTTCAGAACCAGAACTATAGTAGTGGTTGTTTTATTCATACCTGCTATTGCAATACTTGCGCCTTAGCTTTTGGAAATCAGATTTTATTTAGAGCGCCCCCCAAAAAATCTTCTTTGCCCCCCACTTGCCACTCCAAATTGTAGAGCCACTTCTCTCAAGCTAATTTAAAGAGTAATTCAAATTTCAGAAACGATACTGAAATTTCACTAATTTGCAACAATTTTACCACAGTCTCATCTTTGATTCGAATTAAAGAGAAATTCAAATTTCAGAAACGATACTGAAATTTCACTAATTTGCAACAATTTTACCACAGTCTCATCTTTGATTCGAATTAAAGAGAAATTCAAATTTCAGAAACGATACTGAAATTTCACTAATTTGCAACAATTTTACCACAGTCTCATCTTTGATTTGAATTAAAGAGAAATTCAAATTTCAGAAACGATACTGAAATTTCACTAATTTGCAACAATTTTACAACAGCCTCATCTTTGAATCGAATCAACACACATGCACGTATAAATTCTACCCAAACTTTGCCTATTTTTCTTTTTTTTCATTGGGAGGGGGAAGGGGGCTGTCCCAGGATATAACAGGCAATTGTGTTCAATTTTCTGGGCTCTTCTTCTTGGAATAAATGGTATCAGTTGTCAAATTCTTTTTTATTTTACCTGTTATTTCACACTGAGTGTCGCCGAGCTTCACATCCAGAGCTGAAACCACAAAGAAATTTACAATAAGTGTTTACTGTCATTAAATTGCCAACATTATATGCGGTAATCAGTGGCACATTCTTGTTTACATTTACTTAGAGCAGGGACAACTACCGTTATGTGAAGGATTTTTTTTTTTTTTTAGAAATCTAAGGTTGTTAAAGTTAAAACTTAAAAAGGGAGATGTTTCTAAAAGACGCAAGTGAGCAATAAATATGTAAAGTACCGTAATTTTCGGAATATAAGCCGCGCGGCGTATAAGCCGCAGTACGCAAAAATCTGCAAATTAAGATTTGAAGTCGGCGTATAAGCCGCACCGGCGTATAAGCCGCACCGACCGCAGTGGTTTCAATTTTGTAAGGCCTCCAAATTCTAGTAAAAATGCTCTGAACCAGTTCCATTTACACTACGAAAGCTATGAAAAGGGCCACAAAAGTTATATCAAATCATTCACAGTTGATACTCTTACAATAATACAAACAAATATGGAAATTGATGATGAGAAATAAACACCGGGAATTACTGCCGGCTGCACCGTCCGGTCCCCGGCCTTGAACGTTAGCGCATAGCGCCGGCAAATGATAACATTTTCCCCCAGCACTTGAGATATGTAACCCACCGTGTGTCGTCTGACTGGAGGCTACAAATGCTGCTTTGTGGCAACAGATGCTGATTTGTTTTGTCCTAAGAATAAACAGGTCCGTTTTTAGAACAAAACGTATCAAATTGTTGTGATTACTAACGTCAAAATTCAAGTTGCGATCGTAACTTTCTTCGAAAATAGTCAACACGATGCTGAAAATTTTATGGACGAATCCATTCATTTTGTAAGGGGTGATTTTTAGCCCCTGCTTTGAGTTTTACATCGTTTCTTGAATACATTTCAAGAAAAAAAATTATATTTTTTCTGTTTTTAAACAGCAGAAATATTGGTAATTATTGTTCCCAAGAAAGTACACCCCTTTATTACAACAAATGGTGTGGTCCATGGGAAAGGTATGCAGCATGCATGCAGCACTGCACTAGACTAGAATCATGTACGGCCGGTTGTCGATGTCGATGTCAAAGAGACAGCTTTCGCTAGCGCTAGCCGTACTTTTTACCGCTCGATACCTTTTCGTTGGACGTGCTTTCGGTTTGTTTATGACTTTCTTAATTGATGATTTATTTCAGCAACAGATCATTCCTTATACCAGTACATTAAATATACATTTGAATATCATTTTTATTCTTCACGGCTCGGCGTATAAGCCGCCCTGTGTATAAGCCGCAGTAAAAATTTTCATGTGCAAATTCAACGTATAAGCCGCGGCTTATATTCCGAAAATTACGGTACTGTTTTTCTGATGTAATTGATCAAGAGCTATAGTCTTCGGCTAAAAGTTACGCACACTAACTCATTTGTTTCCGTGCAATACTTTGTATACATTTCTCTGATAGCAATTACGACATAAATTTTTATTTATACAAATATATATCAGCCATATACCTTTAGTGCTGGCACTCTTGTAGTGGACCATGTTGTTGGAAAGAAACTAAAAGTAAAACCAACAAAACAAAAATAGATCAGCAACGTATAACTACGTCCCTGGATTGACACTGCATGGAAGCTACACTATTATGACACGTTACACTCACTGTGTCGACATACATGCACACATGCTTACTACATAATCCTACACAAAACTTGTGACAAAATACACACATATTTTTTTTTCGTGAACAACAGTCCCCAAGAGTTTTACGTACCACAAACTCCAGTCCTGGGACACTGAAATCCTTTTCCTGCTGCATTTTGGACGTACATGAAATCGCAAGAAGGTACCCCAGCTGAAAAGAAACACAAAATGATCCATTCAAAAATCCAGGGTTGTGCTAAAACTCACAAATAAATATGCAAATTTTTTTTTTTATTAATTCATGTCTTTTATTCATTAATCAACAACAAAAAGACATGGGGGAAACCTAGAACATCATGAACATGAAAGACGAATCAAAAGAAACAGTCTAAATGTCAATGAAGCAAGGTACTAGAAATTGAAAAAAAAATTAGAACAAGAAAAGCATAAACCAGGAAATAATGATTGCTTGGCTAGGTCAAGGGAAAATTGTTGATTTGGATGGGCGATAAGAAAGAATATCTTAGTCCTGAGAATCAATCCAAACAGGGCTGTATTTTGAGTAGAAGATAACGAAGGATGAGACCAGTGCTGTTTTTGACAGGTGAGTGGTGAGTTGCCTTATTTCGGTTTTTGTCATCAGATTGAATAGAGAGCGGATATGTGTTAAAAACAGCATCGATAAAAGTTTCAGAAAAGGAGGCTTTCACACACGGAATTAAAGCTCAGGTAACCAGAGCATTGTCAATGCCACTTGTTCCCCTGAAGTAGAGAGATGGGGTGTACCACCCCTAGTATCCTCTCTCTTGTCACCTGGGTGGGGAGAGGGTAGGGGCGAGGCAAGAAAGGAGGGGGAAGGATAAGTTCTTCCTGGCCATAACCGGAGTTATGAAGACGGTCAGAGAATACTGACCGGAACGTCGAGTTTATACCTCTGGTTCTTTTCAGAACCATTCTCTTTAGTTGAGAAATTATTCGCACATGGTGTTTCCGCACACCTTATATTATTTAGTATCTCCACCATGCAAAGCCTCGAATCTAACATAACCAGGGTCTTTCCAATGTCACTATTCCCCTGTGGTAGTTAGAGGGGATGTAGCACTCCTGGCGTCCTCCCTCTTGTCACCTGGGTGGGGAAAAGGGCAGGGGGAGGTCAGAGAGGGAGGGGGAAATGGGGGGTGGGGGGATTTTGAGGTTTCCCAGTCATAATCAGAGCCTTGCCAATGCCCTGGTATTCACCTGTGGTAGGTAGATGACGTTGCACTCCTCAATATCTGAGCTGAGTCGGTTGAGTTCCTCTCTGGCCACCTGGGTCATTAGGTCTGGTAGGCCGTTGTAGGTACGCTTCCCTACGGTATCAATTCAAGATGTGAAAATATGGCTTAGCAGATTTATCAGCGAAGCAAAAAATGAGCAGAGAACCAGCTAAATGAATACACGTCACATGGAATTTTGGCTGGTGACCTGTGCTAAGCATTATTTCATAAAAAAATAAATGCAAGTCTTTATTGCGCTAAGCACAATCCTCAACTAAAAACATGGCACAATTCAATTTAAAGCTTGGCCAAAAATTAACACAGATTTCTCGTGAAAGAAACACTCACTGTGATCCAACTCGGCGTCAACATTGGATTTGACCACGAAGCGGTTCTGGGCGGCCGATTCATCGAAGTCAACCTAAAGTTTGGGATAAACAAGTTGTTTTACTTTTTTTTCACAGGTATTTCCCCTAACACTACAACAAGGGCCGCTTAAAATTTCATGACATTTTAAAGAAAGAAATATTCCATTTAACAAGCAAATGTGGTTCTGCTATGGGGTAATTTAAAGCTGGAATTTTCACCACTGCAGGAAGTCCTGGTGAAAATGTTGTCTCGCAGTTTTTTTTTTTACATCTACATTTCAAAATCAATACGAAAAACCTACAACTAGATCTTGTTTGAAAAAGTGGGACTGTTTTAAATTTAGCCCATCTGGTTACTGAATTTGGGACTGAAAAAAAATATACATGCCAGCATGACAGTTTTTAGCAGGTGAAGTGGCATGGGGGATGTGTAAGGCAGGTGTTTATCAGCCCATCCCAGCCCCACACCTGGGGGGAAGGGGTTGGGGGGTTTGATGGAGGAGCGCGACACCCCTTTTGCCACTTTTGACAGGTGACGTGTCAGACTCGGTCATAATCTATGGCGGTGAGGAACTGGTTCCTATATTGTTATCTGTTTAGTCTCCAAAATTGTTCCCCTAAAATCTGACCTAAATTGTGAGGGCTCCATTTTTTTTTGCTCTGGTGCCCTTAATCAAAGTTTACCAACAAAAACACACTTTCTGGGTTTCAAAAGATAGAAACACAAGAGACGAACTGCACTGTGTAAATGGATCACTCTATAATTTAAGGTCCAAAGAGTGACATTTTTCCTGTCCCTGTTACCTTGGACTTGGTACTTTGTAATTTGCCATTCAAGTATCACTAAAAATGACTTCAAATGATTGTTTATTTGTTGGGTAGGTAGTTTGCTATTCATAATCACTCTTGAGGATGACTGCATTAAGGAGTGCATCAGAATTATAAAATCATAGATGTCAGATGTAACAGGGACAGGAGAAAAAGTGGAACCCAAGTTTACAGAATGATCCAAATACAACCAAAGCTTTTATGAAGGATACAAACTACTCACAATTTTGCTGATGACGCTGGCGATGTAATGCAGATCTTCAGTAAAGCCCCTTGCAATCTGAAGGTTTAACCAACATGTGTTATTCTTCAATATTAACCATTTTGCCTTTCTATATTGCCTTCGAGAAACATTTTGCTAGGACTGAAAAGTCAGGCCTTTAACTTTTAAGACTGATTCTTCTTCAAGCTAATGATGTCAATCAACTCATGAAAGTTAATCACTCTAACAAAAAAATATATGACTTGAAATACAGTGCAGGCACACAAGTTTGTGATATGGTTGAATTTGTCTTCATAAATTATTTTTGGTATTTTGTTTTGAGAACGGCTGCATTGTCTTGAATGTTGTTTTTTTTATTGCTTTATATGCTGTTGTTGCTATTGTTTACATACTGAAGATTTGAACCTTGTAATTCTGTTGTCTTTACTTAAATGTACTGCATTATAAGTTAAACCCCCTAAAAAGGGGGAGAAAAGAGTTTAAAATATATTACAAACAAGGTCATTGGGCATATGTACCTTCTTGAATATTTCAATGTCGGCTCGTTGCGCCCGGCAAATATCTCCAATGTTGATGGCATTGTAGGTCGTCTGTAAGGCGAGAAAAGACAGCATTAAGTAAGCTCATGTGACCTGTTCGTATGAACAGAACATCTAACTGAGATGACAAAGCGTGGTTATTCTAACCTTGTACAAGGCCTGCCAATCACCTACTGATGCCTGGGCTTGTCTCATCTGCTTCAAAATTCTCTGCCCAAAAAGAAAAAAGTAAAAAGAATAGCTCAGAAAATATACTGTCCAATAAATCGTCTGATTGGCTTTCAACTGGGAAATCCCCCCCCCCCCAAAAAGAGGATATTCCAATCTTTACAAGACTTTATTCAGTCTTTTTTTTTCAATTTTAATGGAATTAGTGTGAAGTGAAAAACAAGGAAATCAGCTGATCCAAGGAAAAGTTGCATACCTGGAATTTTTATTTTTTTAAAAAATAATTAAACCATTCGAAAAACTGTCTGATTTTACACTGTTTTCATTATTTCTACTGATATGCTGATATTTGCTTAACCAACAAATGTGAAAGCTTTCATTATCTTGACCAGTGCATTTTTTTTAAATAAATAATTTCACGGTGAAAACTGGAACATAGTAGCTGGGCTTGTAGGAGGTTGATTTGAATACAGCAGGGGATTCAGTGTTTATTAGGGAGGTTTCGCAAGCGAACGGATACGCTTACACTTACGTTTAGCTATCCGTATCCGTTTTTTACTTACTCGTAGCGAGCGAGATATGCGTGTCGTCTGCACGTATGACGTCATACGCCACTCACTATCCGCTAAACGTGCAGACGACACGCATATCTCGCTCGCTACACGTAAGTAAAAAACGGATACGGATAGCTAAACGTAAGTGTTAGCGTATCCGTTCGCTTGCGAAACCTCCCTAATGACTGACTATGGTTCACATTTGAACTGGTAGCTGAACCCAGCAAGTTCGGTGGTCCAGTGGTTTTAAAAGCTGCACTAGTCCGCAAGAGGTAACATGGGTTCGAGTCCTGCACAAAGAAGCTTGTGATTTTTGTCTCAATATTCAGAGAAACGGGTGTCAAATAATGCAGAGACATAATGACGTTGTGCTTTGTTTACACGTGATCCTTCATATTGGAGCAAGGTGTGAGCCGCAAAGTTCACATAATAAGAACACGTGGGCAAATTCAAGCGTTATGTAATGTCGGTGACAGAGTGTTTGAGAGTTCAGTGAATAAACCTGAAAATGTATTTTTCAAATGTTATACATCCATTATTTAGTAATGGTCAAGGAGATTACAGACTAGGAGTTTTGGTTTATTTGAAACATTAATTAGATATAGTGGTTGTTGGCTCTGTCACGGACCTTACAGTTGTTTTGCAAATGCTGGAAATGCCCACATGTAAACAAAGCTTGACGTCATTATTTCTCAGGGTTATAGGGTATGTGTAGACAGACTTACGGCCACATTCTTGACCTGTTTCAGGCATTCTTGCAGCGTAGACGTGACTTCCGTGTTGACAGATGCTAGGAAGAACGCGATGGCATTCTGTCTCTGGGTCAAGAGGGCCAAATCGCAGGACGGCCGCATGAACCACACCCTAGGCAAAGACAAGAGGTCTGGTTACCATCTCTGCAGAACACCAGGCACAGACATCACAAACACTATGAATCTAGTACACACATAAATCATGTAACAACCAAACTTAATAGAACGAGGTAAAATGTAAAGACAAAATTTACAACAATTGAAAATTTATTAACCAAAACTCAACAAGAAAAGAAACCTTGAACACCAAAACAAAAACATACTCTGAGAGTCTTTAAAGACAAAAAACATTCCTACAAATATTAAGTACAACGAAAATTAACTGTATAGTTTCAGTTTGCGGTATAACCATGTGGTAATAACTGCTGTCGCTGAAGGACATTAGTGCGAAGCATCAACTACTTAAAAATTCCACAAGAAATAACTGAAATGTAATAGATGTAACATTAATGGCCTGAACTCTTACTCAACTTCAATTAAAACGATTGTAAAGATAAAAAACATGACCTTTTGTGTTTGTGTAAAAATGTGAGTAATTAATACACAGTATAACTTTATAAAACAAATTCTAACATTTTGAGGAAAATTTGTTTGACTATTGTTAAGCTCTTAAACATCTGTGTTTTATTCCTACCTCATAAGCTTGCTTCCTACAACTGATTTGGTCTTATTCAATATACCTAGGACACAACACAGTAAAGATAAACCATTTTTGCCTGCAATACATTGTATTACATTGTATGTATTCCCCGATGAATCCAAAAAGCCATAGGGTGCTAGGGTTCAGTATTTCAACTGTGCATGCGCACAGTGGTATGCAGTCATTCGGAATAATCAAATGCTCATCGAAGGCGCATGAACGCGTAAAGAGACAGTCGCACGACGCTCGCACGTTAATTATAAACAGAATGGGTGTTCGCATAACATCGTGTAAAATCGCGTCAGCGATTTTATCCTGAATGACCCTTGACCTGGACTACTTGAATACGAGATACTTCAACTAACTTGTGCATCGTAAATTGAAGTCACTCACCAAAAAGGCTCAGGCCCTCCTTAGCTCCACTTCCGGCCGACTTGTAGGCCGAGGGATGTCTCTCCTTCTGGAAGATCTGCAGAGCGCTGTACGTATTCTCATCCACTGAGACAATGTGCTCCCTGCAGTTATCAAAGACAAGGAGAGTTTGGAAAGAATGTCACGCTTTGGATGGTACACTTTGATAAAAAAGAACACTTCTATTTTCTGTCTTCGTTTTTTTGGTTGGCCCCAGAGAACCAGCGTGGTCTCCTCTCTGTATCAACCACACTGACTGATTGACTAACACCCTCTGACCGTCACTGGTGACCTGGGCAGTGCTATTGTATAGGATTACCCTGCAATGCCAATAAATGGGTTCAATCTGGCTCACTATATAGACCAGATGCATGAACAGACTTGCAGTGGATAGCCATTTGTAATCAATTGTACACAACTTGGTGTGCTGTAGGACCACCCTTACTGGGCTTGCTTTGTTTTGTGACGCCTATATCTGAATTTCATAGAAACTCGCCAACATTTCATTTATTACATGTAATTCTGAAGTAAAATCAAGCAACGGAATCGTAACTCTTACTGTAAGATACTGAAATGATCAAACCTTGTTTCTTACAATGAAAACATCCTGATTGAGAGCACCGGTACACGCACATTATAGCCCTCCAGCTCCACTCCAACTCGCCTCTTCTCCAGGTACTTCAGTAAGCCGCCGACGGCACGCACCTGAATGAGAACAATATCCCTTTAAAACCAGTTTACACTCAGCGCGAAAGCGAATACTAACATGAATCTGTGATGTCATGGCCAGGGATGTAGTCGCGTCCATCGCAGGTCCCTGCAAGTCCATCACAAGTCCTCTAGTCCCAATTCAACTCACAAGCTACTCAAATGAGCTTTGACAAAGGCATTCCTTTGTTACTGTTCATCCACTGTTTCTTGCAACTGGACTTGTGATGGACTTGCAACGGACCTGAATACATCCCTGGTCCCGGCAAGATTTTTTGCAGCAATTTTGCAAACATCGAATACATTTTCATCTCTGGCAAATTTTTGCACCGGTTTCCTGACATTGCACTCATTTTCATTCGTCACATTTGCATTGGTGTGAAGTATCAACTGGCTTTGACTCTGTTACAGTTATTCACCACTGCATTCTCTAGCTGTAGTAAATTGTAGCAAATTATTGTGGTGGTGAAATGCTGTCATTACAAATCTGACACAGTACCGAATGAAGTAGGATGTGGGGCATGCAACTAATCCTAAACCTCCCCAATTCTTCAAAATCCAGGATGAGGCTCGCTGGATTTTACAAGACTGAGGACAATTCTTACTACTTTATATGGTCGTAGACTACACAAAACCCTTTATACAATCTAGAAATTCAAAAAACAATCCTGTTGTCTTACTGCACGACATCTTTCAAAATCTACAGGAGGAAAAATAGCAATTCTCTCACATCCATACCACTCATTGTTCCCACAGCAAATTCTAGGAAGTATTCATCCAGTTTCTATCCACGCACTGCCTCACTCCGGAACTCCTTTGTTTTCCAATTGATTATGATCAGTCCAAGTTCTAGCGTAATGTAAGTACTCATCTTTCTCCTAGAAATAATCTATCTCTTTGTTAGATTTCCTTTCCATCCCTTCTTTGTGTAGCCCTCACCTCGAGCTGAACTTAAACAGGGCCTTGCGATGAGCAACTCTCATTACAAAAAGTTGCTAATACAATAAGTGGTTAGTAACAATGAGCTCTTTAACTGTAACGACTGACAGACCAGACGGTATCGCCCTAATCAGAAGCACGTACTACGAGTTACTCAATATTAGTTATGACAAGCTTCGATTTCTTATGATTAATATTGAGGAAGTGGTCTCTATGACATACACACCTTACAAATGTTATGGGTGGGGAATAAAAAATGAGAAAGATAAAGGCAGGAAGCGGGGGGTATATCTCTCGGAGGAATACCGCGCCTCGGATTTTACATCGAGAAACACGTGCGGCGGTCGCGAGCACGACTTGTGGCGCGCCATTCGATACCCCCTGCGGTCGTTCGGTTGAGGCTGCTGGATCGGTTTAAACTGCAAAGTTATCACAAGACGAGGCTCGGTTGTCCAAACTACTAGCATTTGATACCAACGTGCGGCTCAGTTATCCAAACGCTGACGTATTATATTCCGACGAGGAGTAAATGGTAAATGTCAGATGCTTTTAAAGACGCTCTGCAAAATACTTCGTTGATTTTTGTCTTTTGTTCCCGATCATGACTGAGATTTGGGTTATCGTGTTCATTGATGACAGCAGTAAAGTTGGGTTACAAAACTTGTGAAGGTATGTTAGATAATATGGACTGAAACTGCAACTTTGATTAGGGAGTCGGGATTAGGTAAAGTCTTGGCTTGAAACAGGGCCCATGTCAAGCCCAATCACAAACATACAGTCCAGGTTTGAGACTCAAGAGGACACATATGATTTTCTGCAGTTACAGCCTTAGACAAAACTCAACCACAACTGAAAGCGCCAACAGAAACAACTTGCAACTGGCTCTATTAAATGCGATTTTATTCTTTCATGGATGAATTTGCTGAAAAGCAATATTCTTCTTTGTCCCAGCTTCAGTGAAGTGGTCCCAATACTGCATAACTTTCTTCGTAATTGCTTTGGTCTCTTACGTGTACATTGTGTACCCCCGGTATGCATACACGCCTAGCAAAGGATGAGACATCTGTGACGCTCAAACAAATCACAAATGCTCGTAATCTCTTCTAATTTTAAAGCATGTTATCAAATCTGGGCCTCATCAAAGGCATTGCAAGTTCCACGCGAATCAACAGCACTAAAAATCCCAATGAAAAATCCCTGGTCTAGCTGAGTGAATGCACTCTCCAGGAAACTGGGTCTAAGGTCCTACTGATTTTGCTTGTTTCTTCTGCGCCTCCCCCCTCTCTCTCGTGGACCAATCCTCATCCAGTATTTCAAGCCTCCCAACCACCACAGCTCGCCGAGTGTCGGCATACTAATTTACCCGCTAATCTTTGGGGACGCTTGTAGGTCCATAGCGTGCCAGGGCTGGCGTCCGCGCACCCTCCCCGACCCATCCAAGCTCCGTGGCGCTCCTTCGCGTTGACTTTGGAAAGCCTGCTCCAAATTTCCAACTTCCTCTCGGCCGAGTGCGGCAGTCGTCCCAACTGGCTAGTATCTCTAGTTTTTTTTTTTTTTAATTTCTTGGCTTGGCAGATGGCGAATTGTAATGACTGGACTGGTATGAGTAATGCCAGGTGTGGTGTGGGAGAGCTGAGCCAGGGAGAAGCCTTTCGCAACACTCTCTCTGGTTTTTGGTCGCAAAGTTTGGGCTGACTCATCCATCGCCTCGCAAAATGAGTGTCACGTCGTGATTGATGATCCAGCAGGGGTATACCCACCCCCCCTCCCCCCTCCTTGTTCCCTAGATGCCGACTCAAATTGATTTCTGCTTCTGTGCTTATTGCACCCAGGTGTAGAAACAATAAAGACGGAGTGGCTGACAGTTATGTTCGACTGACGTGTGTTTTATTTCACTGTCTTGCTTGACACACAAAGCTTATCAATGGTTGCTCAACTTTGACAGCTCACTTTAAAACACAATTATAAAGGTGTTTGTCTCTCACAGATGTAGTTGGATAAGCACTGCATACTCAGTGCTGTTCCAGAGCTATGGACTAATCCGGCGAAGAAAATTGGAAGCTATTTTTGATGTGGCACCACGTCCGCGTGCGTTCTTAAAGACAAGGCGCGCGCATTTTGGTAACCTATTGGTCGAAGGAGGCCAGAGTGCGTACGTATTACAGGAGCACAACTCGTGCAAGCCTGGTGCCACCTCAGAAAATGGCTGTCACCGGATTGGTCTAAATATTAAGAGAAACCAGAACACACACAGGGTGTCCTACCCTGTGTTTTTTTTTTTCTCGAAAGTATTCACAAAGCGCCATACTTACGTGTAGGTCCGCAATACTTTTTTATACATAAATTGAAGAGTCATTTGCTTTTTTTATTTACTTTAATTGCCATTTTGCCAACCAAATTTCTGTACAGAAAAAGGCTACAAATTTTATCGTTCAAACCAGATGACAAAAGCCGTCACTCTTCTAAAAGTACATGTACGCTAAAACAAAAAAAAGCGAGACAGAAAAAATACTGACACTTTGTTGGACCGACTTTATTTTACGGTGTGATTTGTTTCAGCTGCTAGTCATGACAATTCCTAGAAACTGAATAAAAGCTCGGGGTCTGACCAAAGCCCCTTGGGCAGCTGCCACTGCTCAGGATCCAAGGCCGCGCTTCCATTGTGGTTTTCAGTGAGATATATTTTTTTTCGTCGTCCGAAGGAGGCCTTAACTGCAAATAAATAGTTAAATTGTTCAGTCGTGGAGAATCAAAGTGGGGACATATCAGGAGGGGCTGTTCATTGATGTCTGCATTTTACTTTTCCCCTTTTTATTTGGGATGGCATGTGGGGTGGGGGTGGGGCGGTGGAAGTGGGGATGGGGAAGTGGGGGTGTGTTAGGGGTGGGGAAGGTAGGGGTCGGGGGAGGTGGGGGTGGGCTGGTTGCACCCATGCCCCACCATTTTTATTGCCAAACAATGCATTAAGTGTATGAAACTCTCTGAGGAATATGAAGGCACATGACTTTGTACCGGTACATGTACCTACCAGTATTTATTGCCAAAGACGTGGAGGAAGGGGGACATGTACGTGTTGGGCCTTGGCCCCTGGATTGGAGCTACGATCATAGCAAAAGCCAGACCATTTCAGATGGGAGGAGTGTGATCGATTATTGCCTGACCAATCATGGGCTGTCATGGGTGGCCAGAAAAGGCTCCCAATCACCGAAAGCTGGCGATTCGAACAGCGCGCCCGGGGCAGACATCGTGCAACATCAGGGGGCGCTGTTCAAGATACTGCAACGAGGGCTAGTTTGGCCGCAACAATTTTGCTGACTGAGAATTACAAATTGGGAGTCGTCACCAAAGGGTCCCCCAGCGACACCCCTGTCGACGATGAACATGCCCTCCAAAACAGCTGCACGACCTACCCCTCTACAACAGTCAACTCCTCCTAAACATGACAAGCCGCTCGCCTGTACCAACAATCCATACAAAAGCCAGCGATTTTTTCTTCTTTTTCTGAGCAACGAAGGGGGACTGGTTTCAATCACAGACCACAGCTGAAGGGGGGGGGGGAGGGGAGGGGAGAGAGGGGGAATCCTACAACAAGTAAGAACAGGTGGAGAAATTTGTTCCCCAAGTCAGCAGATCTGGGGAAAAAAAATATCGGCAGCGGCTCGGTGCCAAGGGGGAAGCGCCGAGCAGGGCCGTCGGGATTTAAACAAACTTAATGATGACTCAGGGTATTCCTTTATTGTAACCATATCGTAAATCAAGACGAATGACATTGTAGACTCAAAAATGGCCTTTTGATTTCTCTTATTTCATTTCTTCTGGGCTATGTTTTTAAAGCGCTAAACTTCTGTCGCTCAGAAGCCTAAGAGAATCGAAGAAATGTTCGCTTGTTTTAGACTGTGCCTCCACGATTTCCCTTAATGTATTGCCGTTGCTTATTCAAACTGCATTACTAAAAGCCTCTCTGAGTGATCCTCGTTTGCTATTTGTCGGGTTTGCAACATTGGTAATGTTGCTTGCATCTTCGGGAGTGGTCCCTGGCAACATGGCATATACAGGTT